AAAAAAAAAAAAAATTAAAAAAAAAAAAAAAAAAAAAAAAAAGTAAAAAAATGTGCAAATTTAACCAAAAATTTTTTTTTAAAAATTAAAAAAATCACAAGCTCGCAAGCGACTCGTGGGCTCGGCTCTGGCCCCGAGCTCATGCCTCGTGAGCTCATGAGCTCGTGGGTTAAAAGACCGAGACCAGCTTAGTTCGATCCATTGTCATCCCTAATTCTTCTGGACCAATCCGGAGCTATATTTCTTTTTTTCCATCCAAGTACAAACAAAAGCACATATTCAATGTATCTTGTCCTTGTTGTGTGGCAATGTTGATAGCGATATAATAACAATGATGCTATTTTATCAAGGTAGGGGCTCAGAACCCCGCGACCCACACAGTACGTGGGTCTCACCAGCATAAAAAATTGCCAAAAACCCCCCTCACCCCATGCTGTGAGTTGGTAGGGGTTCTGTACTCTAAGCATGATTGATATAATAATCAGTATCATTTCCTTATAAATCGAACAATTTTATTAATACAGCACAACCCATCTGTCCAGACAAGTTGTTTCTATTCAAGACACAACATTTCAACTTTTATAAATTGATCACCATATATCGAATTTCATTAATTCCAAAACCAACTCAAATTCTCATTTCCTCCTTGCACCATTCCGTATTTTATATTCCAGTACCGAATATTATTTTCTTGTATTTTTTAGTCTTCCTCCATTTTTAGAGAGACTAAAACATTAGCAAGTTTGATAGATCATGTAATTTGGAGTGCTACGATTATAAGTCGAGATCATTGTATTTTGTCCTCATTTTGAGTCGCATCGTTAATAATCGATATCATTCCTTGTAATTTGAAACAATGTTATTAACGTAGCAAAAGAAGAATCAAGAGTTCGAGAGGGACAAACCGTGACTTCAATTGGTACACGAGTGTCGATCCGATGAACATAATAGAGATCAATGTAGTCCATTTCGAGCCGCATCAAGCTGGCCTCACATGAATCCCTCACATACTTTGGGTCTCCACGAACTTCAATTTTCTCATCCTTAAATTGTACTCCAAACTTGGTAGCTAATTGTACTTTCTCCCTTATTCTTCCTTTCAAAGCCTACATTTATGCTAAGTTATTACTCATGTCTATTTCAGCATAGGATGACCAAAATTTGAAGCAAAAGCATTACCTTTCCGAGGAGAACCTCATTGGTATGGGGCCCATAGAAATCGGAAGTGTCGAAAAATGTGACGTCGGAATCGACGGCATGGTGGATGAGCTTGATCATATCAATCTCCGGCTTGGGCGGGCCGTAGGTGGCGGACATGCCCACACACCCTAGCCCTTGTTTCGATACTTCTAGGCCCTGCGATCCCAGCTTGATTCTCGGCACCGCCACCGTAATTGATGTCGCCGGAGCAGCCATTTCTCTTCAAAATTAACTCCGTCGATTGTTAATGTGTTCCAGGAAGAGATCCATTTAAGTAGGAGTGGAGAACACAAAAGTCCACCATGCATTATGCATAATAATGGATTATAGCATTTGTTTAATGGGTCTACGGCGGCGGCGTCGTCTTTTACCAATAATTCGAAAGACCAAATAATTGTGGTTTGATTTGGATTACAAGTTGAAAGTCATAGTCCCCATCTTCTTCTTTTTCACCGGCGACGACAATTTCTAGATCCTTTGCTCGAGCAGCCGTGTCCGTCAGAGATAATTGCAGCTTAGGTCCCAAATCTTTTATTTTTTTGGCAAACTTTACTCAAATATTTTGTTTATATCATCCACAGTCACAAGCCTTTAATTTAATTGCAGCACAAGAACAAATAACATTCTTAGATTTTTAATTCAAAATAATGTCATCTACTGCAAATTTCTCATTAGGCTTAAACTTACCTCTAATCTCCGTACTATATTAAACGGTTCACAGTGCAGATGACTATTCACCCACCTTAATCCAATATACAATACCATCTATTTATTACTTTTAATAATAATTTTATACTAAATTCTTTATGTAGCATAATTCCCGTACGCCAAACATAATCTAAAGGTACAAGGGGTACAAAATAGTGTCCCCCCGCCCCACGCCTCGCCTCCCCTCCTCCATTTGAGAAATAAATTATATAATTGAACAAGATTGTTTTTTCGAGGAAAATATACTGGAAAAGGCAACTCAACTCAGGTCGATTAAGACACTGCACTGGTAAAAATTTATTTACTAGTTCAAGTGGCCCAAACATAGAATAGGGTCCACATACGATTCAACCGTGCTGTCATCGGCCCAACTTATTGTAACAATCGACCCCTAATACAAAATCCATGACCTACATGTCAATTCGAAATCTCTGATAATCTATCTTCCAGATAGATCACGTTACCATCTATCCAGATTTGGTGAGAGTTATCTACAAACGAACATGATATCTCAACTGAACATATCGGATTAGATTTGGCTCCAACCAACCACGAAATCTCAGAGAATTCTCGCCAATCCCTCCTTGACGGTTATCCCACTTCTATAAATTCAGCAGTCGATCGAGTATTCAGATATCAGAATTCAATAGACTCCAATTCATTTCTTCTTTCTTCCGTCTGGCATTTATCAAACTTTCAACAAAATTTATTGACTTGACCGTCGGAGGGGTCTTTGGCTGACACCACACCAGTGTCTTTTTAATATCTTTTTACGGTCATTTTCCTTTGTTCAATTTTTCTTGAAGTTCCACAGGATTGCTGGTGGCCCACTTGATTCGATTTTTTGGCTGCAGAAATTATCGTACACAGACACTAGGGGCCGAATGGAAATAAGTTGCACAATGAAACTAGATCGCATGGGAGTATATATATTTGAAATCGAGTGATATTTTTGCATAAAAAATATGTACCAAGTAGTTCAACTAAATGCACAAGCACATAAGCTAAATGGAGAAAAAAGGGCCAATGACATAAGTTAATATTTCTTTTTCAAAAATTTTAAGTGAAATATATAATTGGCAACTTGATGGATATAAAAATATACATGACAAAAAAGAAACTATTAACCCAAATGGTTAAGAAGGCTTCTAATTGTTGAAAAGTGGTTATATTGACCCATTTTTAATAAATGAGCATCATTTTAATTGCATTAAAGGTTTTCAATCTTTTTTATTGTTACATTTATATCTTTAAATTCTTTTTATTTCATTCTTATTATTAATATTTATTAATTACCAAATATTGTCCGTAATGATGATGTTTGTCCAAAAATATGTGCATAAAAATGAGGACAAATAT